ATTTTTGCTAATATTAACTGTGTTTCGATTTTAAACAAAACCAAAATCATGTGATAAAATCTCCTCATAAACGGTGAATATTTAATCAAATTATTTGTTTAAGTATAAAACTCAGATGCAATTCATGTAGATTGTTTATAAATTTTGTAATTTAATTTGTAAATTACTAAAATATAGGCTTTTAATAATTTTAATATTTTAAATATGAGGTATTTGTTAGCATTATTATGCATTTATATTTTTAGCAACTTCGATCTCGTCCATTCATTTGGTTTGTATTGCTATAATTGCATGTTAATTGTGAATTTCAAGAAATATACTAATATTTAATTAAATATTTTACAGAGCTGGATGAAACTAGCACTGAAACACATTATGGTAAAACTCTATTTACTAATATAGTGTAATAAAGTTTGTAGATTTGAAATAATCTTAATTTTATTATAACGTGAACTATTAATATATTATAGTTTTATTATAAAATATGATCAGGTAGCATTTATTATATAGTTCACATTATGCTTGATACTTTGCTTGGAAATTGATCTAAGAAATATACGTTTACACCAAGGTATAACGCCATTTGGTTTGTTGGACGCTGAATTGGGCATGATCATGAAGTGCAAGAGTAGTTATGGCAACGACTACATCGTGGATATGGCCAAATCATTCCCGGCTAACATCTCGTGCAACGGCTACCGGATGGCCACAGGGGTGTCGTCCCGTAATGTCATATACATGGACGGCGCCAAAACCAACTTCAAGATTACCAACGAAACTATTACTTTCATATACGCTAACGGTATGTAATTTAGTGACCATTATATCCTGATATATTTGAATACAGTCCAATTTATAGTATTCATAGTAATGAGACACATCATTTTTAAAGAACTTGTAAAAAACTATTTTTACAAAAACTTAAATAATGGTAATTACACAGTACAGTATATAATAAATATTTCAAAACAAAATTTCATAAAATCGCCTTGCACACAACAAATACTCGTTGGCTAACAATTATAATATATGAGATAGACACATACAAAAAGTGGACATGAACTCTACAGTATAAGTTGTATGTAAGTTAGTATTGATTTCAATGATGCAGTCATATGTAAGCAGAGTACATGTCTACTTTTGCTATGTGCCTGTCTCATATACAATTATAATGAAAAAGGTTTAATATGGCATGACTTGAATGTAATTGTGCAGGCTACGCGTTTAATTACGTGTCGGGCATTATACATGACGGCCCCTGTAGTGGCGATAAATTGAACTTTGCTAAACAAATACTGGCTCAAAGTCCCGATGCCTGTGCCAGTGCGGAGGGTCAGTCGGTCTACACCATCAAGTATGCCATCGCCCGAGTGGATGGCGAAAAGTGTCCGGCCATGTGTCGCAATGTTAAACCCGGTTATATCAAAATAGACCCGCCACTTAATAATCATGGCGCTGTCAAGCACCTAGCTAAGAAAATGAGGGATTAATAATTGGTTTGTTTTTAAGTAAATGTCTAATTTTTGTTAATGTTTAAGTTATGTATTATGTTAAGTAATAAACTAATAATTTTATGATTATAATTTATAAGGGGTTTTCATAATATCTGTCAGGTAAAATTAATACCTAAAATACATTTTACTCGGAAACCAATAAAGATATCAAAAAGATTTTTACACCTCAACTATGGATTTTGCTTATGTATTCCCCAGAAGACACCACTAGATTCGAGCACCGGTAGGCCGGCACAGGTAAGTTTTCTGTACAGTAATAACTACATGTCATAGAGAAACAATCAGCACGGCGTTGGAAAGAGTATAAAAAATGATCGAACCCATCTATCAGGATTTCCCTGGTAATTGTATCATTAAGGGACAGGGAGGCGCGGTAGGTTATAATATTGAATAATATATAGAAAAATAGAAGAAATTATAAATTTGACTTAATNATAAAAAATGATCGAACCCATCTATCAGGATTTCCCTGGTAATTGTATCATTAAGGGACAGGGAGGCGCGGTATATCAAAATTTTGATAAATTTGTTTTAAACCCAAAATTTGATCAAACCAACTAAAACTACTCAAAATATGAATAACATTTAAATATGGAATTTTTGGAATATCTCAATTAATACCTGAGCTAGAGCATTTTGGAATTTATAACAATTTTGCTGGATTTGTAAAATTTATGAATTTTAAAGTGCTCTACATAAGTTATTTCTTAAGATATCACAATGGTTTAAAATGGAAATATCTACTTTTTGAGTACAATTTGATGATTAAGTCAAATTTATAATTTCTTCTATTTTTCTATATATTATTCAATATTATAATCTACCACGCCTCCCTGTGCCTTAATGTTACAATTACCAGGGAAATCCTGATAGATGGGTTCGATCATTTTTTATATATCATAATGGTTTAAAATGGAAATATTATCTACTTTTTGAGTACAATTTGATGATTAAGTCAAATTTATAATTTCTTCTATTTTTCTATATATTATTCAATATTATAATCTACCGCGCCTCCCTGTCCCTTAATGTTACAATTACCAGGGAAATCCTGATAGATGGGTTCGATCATTTTTTATGCTCTTTCCAACGCCGTGCCGATTGTTTCTCTATGACATGTAGTTATTGCTGCATAGAAAACCTACCTGTGTCGGCCTACCGGTGCTCGAATCTAGTGGTGTCTTCTGGGGAATACATATAAGAAAAATCCATAGTTGAGGTTTAAAAATCTTTTAGATATCTTTATTGGTTTCTCAGTTAAATGTATTTTAGATATTAATTTTACCTGACAGATATTATGAAAACCCCTAATATTTAGTTATAAAACTTTGACACCTATTATTACTTGTGTTTTAAAACTTGCCTAGATTATGATTAGTGCGATAATGCAAAGTAATGCTCAAGAATAAGGAAATGCAATCACTTTTACGTTCACGAGTTTGTATTGTAAACGGAAATAACTTATAAAAATATAAATATCACTTGAATAGTAAAAGGTAGCACACTGACAAAGTTAATATAATTACATTTACATAATATTATTGTTACATTAAATCCTAATTTGTTTAAAAAGTATAATGTAAAAATAATTCAAATGATGTAAATATAAAAATTGAATTTATTAATAATTATATTAATTAATTTCAAAATCATAACAAATATTCAATAATTATAATTTAACTCATTTAGGAATTTAAGTGAATATTCTCTAACTTCTGTTCAATTCTTTCATATTTGTCGGCGCCGTTCGCGTGATTTACTCCGCGATCGATGTTGTCTTCGCTCTCTGGAAGCGCTTCTATTATCTCTAGATTTTCGCATACCTTTTGAACCGTAGCTCGAGGTCAGTGTCCGCTCGCGAGCCGCCGGCGACCGACCTCTCCTATCCCTCCTACGACTACTCCGTCGGTCGCGCGGCGATCGGCTCCTCCTATCGCGCGACCGAAGGCTGTGATCGCGGGACGACTTCCTATCCCTTTCCCTCTCGCGACTCCTACTCCTATCCCTTCGCTGATCACTACTTCGGTGTCGGTCTCTATCGGACGACTCCGACGTCTTTCGCGGCCTTTCAGTACTCCTTCTCTCTGTCAATGAATTCAAAACGAATTCATAACTGATTGACAAGACATCCGTTTGCTTACCGTTTCGTTCAACGCTTTTGTCTTTACTTTTATTGCAATCCTTTTCTCTGTTTTCGTCGCTTTTGTGTCCATTATTAGTGTTTTGATCCGTTTCTGAACGCTTTTCATCAGATCTATCGTCCATTTGGTCCGCACGGTCTTCAATTCCTTCATATTTTACATTAAAATATTCCGCAAAAAACTTTTCATACAAATATAGTTTGAAAAACTTTGTCACTCTGTTATCATTTTGTTGAATGAGTTTTAGTGTGGAATCAAATGTGGGATCAGTTTTGAGACAATTCTTATCAATAGACCACTCATTATATTTGGCTAAGACATGTGAGCACTCGGGTCTGTCTGTCCAGTGAGGGCCGGGTTTGTTAGGGTGATCCCAGTTATAGTATGACATTGAATTCAATACATCTGTTAATTCAATCACACATTTGTTCATAACTTCATTGTTTAAATACTTTTGTAAACTACAGAATATATTCAAATAAATAAAAACTCAATTAATTATTAAATAATTTAAATATTAAATCACTTTATCTTACGGGTTGTCCTCCAAATGAATCCCAAAAATATCTTGTTCTGCAATTATAGCCAAACTGTAGACATCTATCTTATGGGTATAGACCACTCCTCGACCCACTTCTGGCGCCTGATATCTCGTGTCCCCCTTATCTGACGAGTGCTGGTGAACAGTAGCCAACCCAAAGTCGCATACTTTAAAAAATCTGCCGTTCTTTACAGTCTTCGCCAGTAATATATTGTCGGGTTTGAGGTCTCTATGAATGACCGGAGGATTCAATTCATGTAAATATTGAACGCATTCTAAGATCTCTTTGAATATATGACACGAAATGTAAAACTCGATTGAATTCATTGGTTCTGCCGGTTGTCGACCAAATACTTGTGGTTTGTGTTGAAGAATATTCTGCAGACTATTGGAGCACAATTCCATTTGAATGTAATACACATTGCCATCATTCCATTGATTCATATATTGGACACAATATTGTGACCTAACGTTTATCAAATTTCGCATTTCTCGCATACATTCCCGGAATTGGTCATCACCTGTAAGTGTATTAATTTTGATAATTATAAATAATTCTAAATTTGACAAAACATGACAAAATTTGATGATCTACGAATACAGTATAATACGATTTAAAGTGTTTATACAAAATATATTTAAATGCCATTAAATTACCTTGGTATTTTATTTTCTTAACCGCATATTCTCGTCCATCATATTTAGATTTAACAACAAATACTTCCCCAAAACCTCCCGAACCTAATAGATACAACTCTTCGTACAAACGGTTGTATTCATTCACTTCGGAAACAACTATAAAACATTAAATTCATTCATTCATTCATTTTTCTTAAAAAGTCATCCAAAAGTAGTACTCAAAGGGGACGAGGATGTGTTGTAGGCTTAATAAAGAGTAATTAAATTATACAGCGTTGTTACTAATCATCGAACCCATTTGAGGAGCTTGCTATTTGGACACCCTGTATTATTTCTTTTGAAATTCTTTCATAAACATAAACTGGAATAGTTAGATTTTTGTTTGGTATACAACAGCCCAATATTTATATTAGCCATATATTTTTTAATTTAATTCTGTAAAAAATTTGGTATAAATTTGACATTTTTTGGCTAACACTCTAAAATTATTAATAATTTGACGAATACTACAAACTGTAATTAATAAAAAAACAGATTTCATTTGAATAACTAAAGTTTGGTACATTTGACAAATTAATCATTTTATTCAATATAACAGTTTATAAGAATATTTATTTTGCAAAATATATTTATTACACTGTAATTTTTTATAACATTAAATATTTTTTAAATATCTCAAAATTTTCGTAGTTTAAATAAAATATTTTTTATATTACAGTTTGTATTATTCCTCAAATTATTAATAATTTTAGAGTGTTAGCCAAAAAAATGTCAAATTTATACCAAATTTTTTACAGAATTAAATTAAAAAATATATGGCTTATATAAATATTGGGTTGTTGTATACCAAACAAAAATCTAACTATTCCAGTTTATGTTTATAAAAGAATTTCAAAANAAATTTTTTACAGAATTAAATTAAAAAATATATGGCTTATATAAATATTGGGTTGTTGTATACCAAACAAAAATCTAACTATTCCAGTTTATGTTTATGAAAGAATTTCAAAAGAAATAATACAGGGTGTCCAAATAGCAAGCCCCTCAAATGGGTTCGATGTTTAGTAACAACGCTGTATGAATATTATTTATTTTTGCATAAATATAATTAAAATAATTTGTTTAGGAATTTGTTTAATTGCTGACAATTTCTTTAGATTTAAATTCTAACTGCAATTAGCGTTCGAAAAGAAAATATTGTAAAATGTAAAAGTTCAATTTATTCATTTCGTAACTAATTTCAATGAGATTTGCGTATGTTTGTTCAAGTAAATGTGTTAATCGTGAATGTTAATGCCTGGCTTACTGTACGTACTTTGTGAATGACCCATACAACCAATTCATACCATTGTTTGATAAGTCTTTTATAGAAGTAAATACTTTTTCCAAATAATTCAAACATATTGCAATAAATTCTTCGCAGTTCTTATAATTATATTCCTTATAATCACACAAATCAATGGTTTTATAAGTCATTAGAAATTCATTTGAGATACAGTCGAAGAAATTTGTATAATTTGTTTCAATTATATTATCGTTTGTTCCATTATCAATATCATATATTTTGCCATTCATAATAGCATATAACAGACACAGCTTATCCTTATCTGAACCAATGATATTCATTTCTCTGAACCTTTTATCAGTATTTAATACTTTTGGTAATATTTGTATCAAATAGTCGTTGTTTTCATTCCTATATTGTCCGCAAAAATGAATGAATCCATCGTTTGATAAGAAGTATGTGGTGCCACCACTGGAACAGATTGTCTTAATACCAGTCATGTCTGCAATGAGTTGTGGTTTCCATATATTACCCGATGAAGTGTGTCCCAAATTATGCCAATCATTTCGACCCCAACTATACACCTGTCCCTCTGATGTGATGGCAAATGAAGAGTAATCACAACAATAAATGCTTTTAATTTCGTGATAGGGATTGAAATTCACTCGAAATATGACCCCTTTTCGTATTCCATAATCTGGTCCACAACCTAACTGTCCGAACGTAGTTACACCCCATCCATAGACACAGCGATCACTCGTGAGAATCATTGTGTGATAAAAACCACAACTTATTTCATCGATTGACTTATTTTCCATGTTTTCGGGATTAATAAGTTCTGGTTTTATAAATGAGAAATCATTATTCGGGAGGTCCAAACCTAACTGCCCCAAACCATTACGACCCCAACCATAGAGGCAGTTGTGTTGAGTGAAGGCTAACACAAAGTCCGCTCCATTGAAGAATTGTGTGATATTCTTGTGGCGCAATCTCTCAATCTCTTGGATTTCACTGACATAGCGGTTGTGTCCCAAACCAAGAGATCCGTAATAATTAGATCCCAAACCGTAAATCAAACCACGATTTGTAACAAACAATATATTATATCCTCTGTTGTCGTCGAAAACATGAAACAATTGAATTGATTTAATGATATTTTCTTGACTTTTATTTCTATTTTCGTCGACAAGTGTTTCATTGTGTGAATCATTGGACTCGTGTTCCGTAGGCCTCAC